CACCACCACCACCACAACCACTACCACCACCATCACCACCTCCACCACCACCACCACCCCACCACCACTATAACCACTACCATCACCATCACCACGACCACCATCACCACTACAACCACTACCACCACCACCATCATCACCACCTCCACCACCACCACATCATAACCATCATCATCACCACCCTCACCACTACCACTACTGGTTAGAATATCACCACCTCCACCACCACCACATCATAACCATCATCATCACCACCCTCACCACTACCACTACTGGTTAGAATCTGGCACTTGTCCTGGATGCCTTCCTTGGTTTCACTCCACAGCTACCAGGTTGTCAAGGTTTATGGATATTCTCTTTTGTTTTTGCTCCCAACCTCCATATACACAGCCACCATTTTTGCCAATGACATACCCTAGCCCTCCAGCAAACCTCCTTGGTTTGCTAGATAATTGCCCTGGCTTACCACCTAAGCCTCCTTGACTACTGGCTTAGCCTTAACTCTTCAGCCCTCCCCCAAATCCATCTTCTGTACTTCTGAGACTTGAGTATTATCACCAAAGCACTCTGATCATGCCTCTCCTCTAATTAAAACTTACAGTGACTCCCCATTTACTTCCATGTATTCATTGTTCAAGCTCGTCATAATCCGACCCCACTTTTCCTTCCCAGCCTCTGTGTGATACTTGGAATCCAATAATGCTGGAGAACCCTATAATAAACCCTCTCCTCTTATCTTGTGAACCAGGCCCCATCTGACAGCACCCGTACACCCTTGAACAAAGTCTTGCCAGCCTGCAGGACCCATGTCACCCTGGCACTTCTCCAGGTCTCTCCTCCCCCTGTCCAGTGGAACAGGGCTTAGGTCTACCTAAGGATGCTTCCTTCTCACAGCTGGTTTGCTTTTTGGCTTACCCTGACAGCTTAGAGATTCCTCTAGGGCGAGTGTGGTAGCTTATTTATCCTTGTGTTCCCAGCACCTAGGACAGGCTTGAGTGGGCTCTGGTGGTCTAGTGGTAAAGAGCTGCATTGCCAACCCAAAGCCACATGGTTCGAATCCACCAGCTGCTCTGTAGGAGAAAGATGAGCAGTCTCATTCTGTACAATTTACTGCCTCTGAAAACCTGTTGGAGGGTCAGCTATGAGTTGACTCCTACTCAAGAGCACACAACAGCATCAACAGACAGTCTTGAGTAATCAGTGAAGGGTCCGTGAATACCTGCAGAAGAACTGTGCTCCGGAAGACTCCTGAAATCTCCTTCGCCCAGGCTCCCTTTTCCACTTTGGTGGTCTCTGCATTCTCCCTGGTCCTCATGTACTGGGGCCTGCAACTATTTCTCAGTTTTCAAATGCTATGGTTTGACAGCAAGTGGGGGAGGAGCCTGCGATGACCAAAGGAGACTTTGCCAGCAGAGAGGAAAGTTCTGAGCCAAAAAAGAGGGTAAGGAGAGGAGAAAGGGCTGTGCGCTCTTAAAATGGGGGTCACGGGGGTGTTAAGGGCCAGTAGGATCCCTGCAAAAGGATGCCTGACATTGCTGTCACTACCCTGTACAGAACCCACAGGGCTTTACCTTGATCTTTTCACTCAGACTCCCAGTGCAGGACACCTCTAGCTTCCTGCAGACCCACGTCTTCATGCGGGGGTGTTAGTCTGGGGAGACCCCTGGAAGCCCCAGACCAGTCCTCCCCCTGAATCAGTTCCAGAGCAGGAGCAAGGCCCCTGAGGGGGAAGCCAGCTGGGCCGCTTTCCTGTAAGCAGCTGTAGGCTAGTCTCCCTGCTAGGAAATGCTTTTGTTTGCTTTAATAATTAATAGCCAATCCTCAGCCTGGGCCTGCAGGCAGCCCTGTGGGTGGGTAGCGGGAGAGTGAGCAGAGAGAAGGGGTGGCCGTCTTTAGGTGGTATAGAGGGCAATTGTGAGGGACAGAAAAAGAGGAATAGCAGGCTGGTGAAACCCTCCTCCCTGGCTCTTTCCCTCCTCAGGGGACCTTGGCTGCTGATACAGTTCCCTGGGGCAAGGAAAGCAGAGGCAGTTCCTAGGATGACAGGAGGAGGGACCATGAAGCCCCCCCATCCTTCATCTGGACTCTCTAGATGTGGGACCTGGACGGCTATTGCCAGGCCCTTCTGCCTGCCTTGTTGACATGGGTGTCCCCAAGTCAGCTGCTGCTTTCATCTTCCCTGGTCTGCAGCTCCTAGCAGCATCAGTGTTGAGCTGCTAACTAAAAATTTGGTGATTCAAACCCACCAGCAACTCTGTCAGAGAAAGATGAGGCAATCTTTTCCCAT